ATTGCCTTTATTTATTTATCAGGTGGGCTGTATCTAATACAGACCACCTCATAATTTTGTTAAAATTGCCTTTATTTATTTATCAGGTGGGCTGTATATATCGTACAGACCACCTTATAGTTTCGTTAGAATTGCCTTTATTTATTTATCACAGGTGGGCTGTAAATCGTACAAACCACCTTATAATCAGGTGGGCTGTATAACGTACATACCACCTCATAATTTCGTTAGAATTGCCTTTAGTTATTTATTTATTATTTATCAGGTGGGCTGTATATTGTACAGACCACTTTATAATTTCGTTTGAATTGCCTTTATTTATTGATTTTTTTTTCTTCTTATTTCTAACCACTTTTTTGTAAGCACGATGACTTGAAAATGGCTCAATCAAATGCCTTCAAATTGGCACACATATGTATAGGCATATGTACAAAGCACAATAAATTTTTCAACATTGACCTTCACTGATGACGTCATCAAGGCGCCATTTTGTAAAAATTTGGGAAAAACAACTCTTGATCATATCTTCATAACCAAAAGGTATTTCCCATTCATATTTATCATGATCAAGGTCGATATCCGTCCGGTCAATTTCAGGTCAGAGAACGCGCGCGCCCGCGTGTCAATGCGCGCGCAAAATTTTAAAATGCTCTAAGTCGTCTCAAAATCATTTTGCATACGTTTTAGGCCATTCTAAGCATTTTATAAAAAAATCGCGCACACGCCCATGCGCGCGCGTTTTCGCGCGTAAAACTATTACACAACATAGAATCGCCATATTTTTTTCTTTCATAATATTTGGCACATTTTTACAAACAAATTGATACCATGTATGTCTTTTTAGGACTATTAATAACGGAATGATCGACCGTTTGACAGGAATTTCCGTGCGTGCGAGCTCTTGTAATACATAGCATATATGGGCAAAAACATGCCTATACAAAATCCATTGTAGCTCTTTAGGATGCAAGATGACCTTAATTTGTTTTCATATCTTGATAAAGTATGAGTCGGAGATATGATTTCATGTCTCATTTGACCCTCAATTAACTCATGACGTCATCATAATGGCCTCCGAACTCAAAATTTCAATTTGCATATTATGACGTCAGCATATTTTTGGAAAAATTGATTGTATCTCTGTAAATATTGATCGATTTTTTTCCAAATTTTGATATGTTCTAGCTGACACAATTTTCAACAAATGCAATTCCATAATTTTTCATTTTGACAAAGGGGTCATGGCGTATTTTTGCGATTAAAGGAGGCATGTCAATTTTGCACATTTTTGCGTGTATTCTCTATGGGACATGATTTTTTCTCAAAAAATGGATTCTACATTCCCGTCTTTCGCGAGCAATGTCTCCGTCGTTTTAGCTTCGTTTACGCTGAACTTCGAGTATGTTGTAGCTGAGACAATAAGCTATCTCAAATGTACCCTTTATTTTGTCTTAAATTTTAGTTGGATCAGCCCACCTATACTTGTTCCAAACAAGTATTACAAATCTAGTTTATTTTTCTTATTTTGACCCATTTTTTTGTTAGCAAGATAACTTTGAAATGGTTCAATCAAATGCTTTGATATTTGGCACACATAATTATGTATAGGCATATGGACAAGACACGGTAAGGTTTTCAACCTTGACCTTGACTGATGACATCATCTAGGCGCCATTTTGTGAAATTTTCTGAAAATCATCTCATGATCATATCTTCATAACCAAAAGATATTTCTCATTCATATTTATCATGATCAAGGTCAATATCAGTCCGGTCAATTTCAGGTCAAAAAACGCGCGCGTGCGCGTACGTCCGCGCGTCAGTGCGCGTGCAAAAATTTTAAATGCTCAAAATCGTCTCAAATTTATTTTGCATACGTTTCAGGTCATTTTAAGCATTTTATAAAAAATCGCGCACACACGCACACCATTACACAACATAGAATCGCCTTTTTTTTCTTCTTTCATGATATTTCTCATATTTTTTCGAGGAATTTGATACCATGTTTATCTCTTGATGACCATTAATAACAAGATGAGCGTCAATTCAAGATAAATGTCCGTGCGCGCGAGCTCTTTTATTACATAGCATATATGGGCAAAAACATGCCTATACAAAATCCATTATAGTTCTTCGGAATGAACCGTGACCTTCAATGTTTTTTCATATTTAGATAGAGTATGAGTCGGAAATATGATCCCATGTCTCATTTGGCCATTAAGTGTATTGTGACATCATAATAATGGCCTTGGAACTCAAAATACGAATTTGCATATAATGACGTCAGCATATTTATGTAACATTGATTGTATCTCTGTAAATATTGATCGATTTTCTTTCAAATTTCGATATGATGTAGCTGAGACAATTCTCTACACGCTCAGTCAACACCATCTTTCATTTTCATGCTTCATCATAGTAAAAATTACGATTAAAGGGCACATATCAGAAATTTCTTACGTTGCGTGTTATGCCTGAGGAAGGTGAATTTCGTTTACATCATTACATCAATGACATTGCATTTTAGCAGTATCTCGCTTATTTTTGCTCTATTTTGTCTCAAATTTTAGTTGACCAGCCCACCTATACTTGTTCAAAACAAGTATTATGTCTAGTTTTTTTTTTTTTTTTTATATATATATTTTTTTATTCTTTTTATTCTTTTTTTTAATTTTTTTTTTTAATTTTGGTGAAAATATAATTTTGTTTATGTGAATATTTTTCATCTGTAAATGTGTAACTTTTGTATGTAAATGTAAAAGTTCATTGGAAAATCTATTAAGACCTATGTTTAAAAAAAATTGTTATTTTGTATACAATGTCATAAATAATGTACAATTTTTCTTTATGAGAGAAATGAATAAAAACCTATGAAAAAAAAAAAAAAAAAAAGAGAGGCAAAAAGAAGTAGAATAATTTAATCCGGTTCCCCCTCTCTCCCTCTCTCTCTCTCTAGCGATCTCGATAATCTGTGCCTGCCTCCCTCCTTCCTCATATCTCTCTCTCTTCCGCTCATTCTCTCTCTCCCTCCCTCTCTCTCTCTCTCCCCCCCCCCTCTTTCTCTCTCTCTCTCTCTCTCTCTCTCTCGCTATCTCTGCATATTGTGTTAAAGCTTACAGGTTTCAAATGCAGTATAATTATCTTGTTATTATTATTTTTTAATCTGCTATACCATTATAGGGCCTACATGATTTTGTTTTCAAACAGGATTTTCTTTGTTTGCACGGGTGAAACTCGAATTTAGATAATTAAACTGGCCCGCCTGACTCTCTAATGCGAAGAAAAGGGGATTTTAATCGTTTAGGTGAATTAAACATACCAATATAGGCCCCTAGTTGTTGAAAGGGATATACAAGTCTTTTGCAGAGAGAAATCGGTTTCAAACCGAGTTAGTTCGCTTTCTTTATGAAATATTGTATGTCAACTATTTTTTTTTAAAGAAACACGGTTTTATCTCATCCCAATTTTCTGTTGGTCCACTTTTCAAGTTAAATTTGTATTACGGACGGAAATGAAATGACGAAACATCAGTAATTCCTTTCCATGGATTTCTGAGTTGCCATGGCAACGTTCAAACGCTTAATGCCATCACGATCTCCTATAGATACCTTCATGTGTCACGGATTAAGCAGTCGTTCAAAGATGTGACTGACTCAGTTCGTCATGTTTCCATTTTTAGGTAATAACATCATACACAATTGACAGTTTACGTTTTGCCTTTGAGAATTATCGTATATGTTTGGGTATAACCATAATCCATAACTATTTTTATTTACGCCTTCTAGAGCTTGTCTTTAAACAAAACAAAAAATCGCCAGTCTGCATGATTTTTTTTTAACCATTATGCGTAAATTATCTATCTTATTTAGAATACATCATAAACGTTTGTTTAAACAATAGCAACATTCAAGGTCTTTCTAGATTTTAAAAAAAAGGGAGGACCTGGTAATTTTAAGTAAATTGTTTGTAATTTTGATTTAACTTCTACTAATCCTGCATGTTTAAAGCCTAGGTAATGCTACAACATTTATTTCATTTTGTAACAATCGTGATTTTATTTGCATCAATGAAAATACATCGATAAACAATTCAAGTATTATACCCAGATAGAAATAGTACATTGGTGTGTGCCATTAAATATACGTGTACATTGCTACTACGTTATAAAGCAAGTCTTTGTCATGAAGAGTCGAGTTAAAATACGTTTTCAAGTTAAGAACAAAAACCAAAAAAGAACAAATCACTCAAGGCAATCTCGTGGAAGTTGTAATGCCAAATAATACACAGAATTTCTTTTAAGTGTAATCGAAACAGATTTCTGGCTATCATTATCTCCAATCATACGGTGCTCTGGGATATAATGACCAATATTCCCAAGCATTTGGTTTTCTCCAGTATTGATTAATTGCACACTCTTCACAAAGAATTGTTAGTTTACTACGAATGATGTTCTTATTTGTTATACTTAAAGGTGCGACTGAATTATAATATAAACAAATTCCGTGACGTAACATTATTCTTACGCGTTATGGGTAGGAAGATAACCAACAAACAAAACAAAAAAACAAAAAAAATCAAATAATGTCCCAAAAAGAACAACAACAACAAAAACCAAAGTAATAATGATAAGAAGAAGGAGAAGAAAAAGTAGAAGAAGACGAAGAAAAAGAAGAAGAAGAAGAAGAAGAAGAAGAAGAAGAAGAAGAAGAAGAAGAAGAAGAAGAAGAAGAAGACGAAGAAAAAGAAGAAGAAGAAGAAGAAGAAAAACAGCACCAACAACAACAACAACAGCAACATCAACCCAGTATCAAGAAATAATTTTTCAGGAGTTTCAACTTCTAAGATTCATGAACAATGCAATCCTTTTTATCTACTTTTGAAAACATCGAATAGAAACTTAAATTCAAGATAAAGCAGGTATTTCACGAAAGGTGCTAATTTTGATTTTGTGCTAATAATACTCTCAAAACCTAAGAAGTACTATTTTTCAACAAAATCTTTTTTTTTTAAAGAAGCTGTACAGGAAGTAACCGTCTAATTATTGTTCGTGAATTGTTCAATTTATTTTATACATAATGATGATTGATGGATACTCATAACAATACAAAATAGTACTTACAAAGATACTCTTAACGAAAGTTACGCGGCATTAATTGGCCCGAAGCATCTGACTGGAGTAAATTTTGAGGGGCCGTCTTTGGTGAGGTGGGCAAAAGAGAGACATGTAAACACGTCCAAAATATAACACGAGGTGCATCAATTACAATGTAATGGTTAAAAATAAACCAAAATTGTAGACTTCTTCTTAAAATTGAATTTCCTACCACAGTCGATTGCGAAACGTTTAATCCCGATAATTAATTTCAGCCTTCCTTATCAGTCGGGATGATACACGCTCATTGTACTGGTATGAAGGAGCATATAACGAAAGCAGGAAGTGTCGTAATTGTATGCCTGGGTAAGAAGGTCCGTGGTTTATCTTCGTGGTTGAGTGGAATGTCTTAGACAAAGTTCAACACGAATCTATCAGTCTTGTTCCATGTTCTACAATTAAATACTTACAAACGTTGAGGTATCTTTTAAAGACCGTCAATACTACTGGGCCAGAAGGGATTAGACCACCCAGCCAGGTCAGTGACAGGTGGCTATCTCATCAACTCAGCTCTCAACTAACATAAGCAAAAGAGGATCATGATGGACCAATAGGCACCGATTGGGGAAGTTTTCTATATGGAGGGAGCAAGTAGCTAAAAATAGGACAGTGGGGCTTTAACTTCTGGTTCCTATACCGCTCATTAGACCCATCACTTTTAAAGCATCCAGCATTAATTTGAATACATGTTGCGTTGTTCATAATTGATATTCCTCTTTATGTAAACCAATTGCGTATGTGGAGACGAAACGTTATTTCTCTTCGACAAATGATATGGTGCTCCACTCTAAATGAGTGAACAACTCAATGACCGAATGAACGGATTTGAGAATACATGGTCCTAACAATGCATTTAGCTCTTATAATTCCTTGCTTATTCCATACAGAGGTGAGGAGAGTGATCATTGTACGTCTCATTATTAACAGTATATAATTAAAAAAAAGTTTGAAGGATAAATTCAACGCCGTCAATAGCAGCAGTTTTCCTTCCTGACCGACAACCTCAATCTAGTTCCTTTATTGTCCTTTCCCAACTTGATGGTGCCCATCCCTTCTGGTACCTCTGGCAAACTTCTAGTCCCGGTACTTTCCCGTTCATCTTTATAATTCTCCCACAGCGTCTGCCCAATCTTATGGAACATTTCTTCCACGTGGTAGTCCTCTTTGGCCGACACTTCGTACGCACCCAGGAAATCCTCAAAATTCGTCGCCATGACTTTTCGCGCGTGTTCGATTGTCGTCTGTCCGTCCTCGTATGTGTCCGGTGGCAAGTCCACCTTGTTCCCGACAAGGAACGTTAAAGTTCTATCCGAATGGTACTTTAAATCGTTCCTCCAGTATGAGAGCCTCTGAAGAGATTGGCTATCTGCGATGTCGTAGACGAGCAGGGCCGCTGTGGTCTCCCGAAAGTAATTGTCTGTGAGAGAGTGCATCCTTTCCATGTTCGCAGTGTCCCATAACTCAACCTGAACAACATGAAAACATGAATAATAGTATTATTATATGATAGATGATGTATAATTTTGTAACAGAAAATACTTTCAAACGATATTTTTAATTACGTCTTTAACATAATTTTATGTCGATTGCTCTACATATTAGTTTATATGTAAAAAGAATAAAGACATAAATGAGTGTAAATGTACGTACGTTATTGAATTTCATTAAATGCTTTCCGAACCTGTTGAAAGGTTTCCAGATATTATGTAAACCATCAAACGATATCTTCGAGAGTTGTTTTCAAACACAATAAATAAATGTACTTCCCTCTCATGCTGGGGCGGGAGAGGGGGGTGACAGGGTTGTAATCGTTTGATAATAATTGCGTTCAATGCAACACATCCTACTGTATCTCATTCCACTTTATGTTTTAAATTGTCATAATAGTTATTACACATTACCTATTGTTTTGAAAAGCTTGCTCGATTCGTTTTGATTTCATAAGCCCAATCTTATTCTTCGGCATATACTCCTTTCACTTCTTAAATTGAGATATGAATGATAAATTTCGCTATAAGCTTTTCAACACTGTAACACATCAAAATGTCAACAGAATACTGGTAAACAAAGGTTTACATTCAAAATCATACTACTTGGTTTCATGAGTTGTTCAGTTATGCACGAATCAAAAAAAAAAATTAAATTTGCCAAAATACAAACTGTTACTTTTATTGTGATGGTACAGGGTGACGAATATTGTACATGTCTCTCAATTCGTATAGAGATACTTTTGTATCTTTTTCTAGGCACTTTTAATTTGAAATCCAAATACTATTAGATTGAAACTATACGAAGGACCAAGAATAAAAGTATGTCTCTCAAATTTCCGTTGCAAGAAAGCCTAATTTTAGTCACCAGGGGGTCACCAGGCGATATGAATATATGCGATATAAGAAGAAGAACAAAACTATTTCTCAAGAATATAAAAGTACAGCCGGCTCCGAAAATAACCATAATTAAATACATTAATATTTCATAGATATCATGAAGTAATTTTGGATTGTTTTTACCTGTATAGGTTTGCTCTGTGGTCCAACTGGAAACTGCCTGTTATACTGATAGCTGTCCAGTGCTAGTGCTGTACACTGTGTCAGAGGTATGTCCCTTGCACGAAACCGTTGGTAAAGTGAAGTCTTGCCGACACCCGATTCCCCTAGGAGAATGACCTTGAATATAGGAGGCCTATGAGTACTGTACTGCATTCTGAGTTGTGTTTTTTTAAAAATATATATAGTTTTTAAGGTCGGCCAGTTTGTTACCTCAGGTTAATACTGTTGTCCTTCACATTGCCCCAAGTTGTAGCGGCTCTCTGTTCATATAAGACTCCATTATGTTCTGAAGACGTTGACGATGATCCTGAGATACGTTGATATTATCGTCATTTTCTAGCCATACCTCTTGAATCCACGGAATGAAAGAAACTACAGTTGTCGAATTTCCCTATCCTCCTGCTCCAAATATCTAACTCGGCTTACGACATGTTTTCGCAGCTTTTCCCTTTATGAAGTGATACGAAATTTCGAAGATAAAATCCGTCAAGGTGCTTTGTTACGTAGATGCACGTTTGTGGGATTGGATCACATCCGGTCCGTATTAACTCGGTCTGCATTGGATAATACAGGGAGATCCCGCTGCGGGCAGGGCTGACAAATTAGTGAAGGGGAAACTCCGACAAGCCTCTCAATTTGTCACTTCTTTCGTCTTATTAGCAATCGTGCGTCATCGCTAGTTTGATAGTTAATTGGTTATACTCATTATAATGGGTCTGTGGCTACATACACACAACCATATGTCAAAACGGGGTTAACATGATGAGTTGAAATCTTCCGTTAAATTGAAAAACTGGAAATGGTAATATTATTAATTATGGCTAAATATATATTAGTTAGGGTACCCGCACCCCCTCCCCATTTAGGCGAAGACAAAACATAAAACTAAAATTTGTATGCAGGGTCGTTCACCGGAAAAGGTCACACTCCCTGTTTACCATTTTCTAGAAACGCAACTACTATGCACCAAGCTCTAGTGAATTAAATGACCAATCCTTAAGCTAAGATTAAAAAATGGTTTCGTACTTGACATCATGAATAAAAAAAAAAGCAGACGAATATGTAAACAGCTTTGAGCTTTTAGATTTCAAAGATGAAAACAATTTTTTGTTCAAGAGTACTTTCACATCAAGAGTACTTTCACATCAAGACCAATTTTTTTCGTTAGCTGACTCCTTCGTATATTTGGTACGTTAGTTTATTTCTTATTTGAGTTTAAATAATTCAGTTATGTTGTTAGGGTTGCAAAATGTACCCCCCCCCCCCCCCCAAAAAAAAAGGGGGGTGGCAAAGGGCATCGAACAATCTAACTTGCGAGAGAGAGAGATTGCGACTTATTTTTCAGAAAAAAATGTTTGTCGCCCTCAACGTCAATTATTAGTATTGCCGAGCAACCAAAAAAACTTTTCCAGTCAGAGCCAAAAATTTCTTAATTCTACTCGCTTCTCTGGATGTGTTAAAAGAGGTAATGAATTGATATTAGGCATTCCAGATCTACCAAATAGTAGGTACACAATAATGTATCAAAACTGAAGTAACAGTTGCAAATTTTTCTTTATGTAGCTTAAAAGTTTACGCCTGAAAATCCATCTTCTTCGCCTCGGTCCCATGTGTTAATTTGTATGTATTGTCCGAAAAGGACGGCGTAGCTGATATATGCACAGTGCAGTGTCAGTAACTCCAGGCACACATAGATGCTTTGCTACCCTGGCTGTGTATTAAAAATTGTTCTATTGATTCTCCACATTCACCACTGTACAAAACTCAAATGAGTTCACTGAAAATCGGTACTTTAGTGACATTTGATGACACCTTAATAGCAGTTTCAAAATATTTTGAAAATTCAATTCGTGAGTCTAGTGTCCAAGTGTCAAACTTGCCGATAAGCCACATTGTATTCATTGTGTGCATTAAAGTGCAATTGTGTGCAGTGTGTGTAATTGCTGCCTCTCAGCATGTAGTACAGTGCTAGAGGTCAATACATTAGCATGCTTTGCTTGAGTGACTCTAGAGAGCTCCTTCGGAGCTCCACAGTCTGTTTTTGAAACGGCAGGTTAGGTCACATTTTTTTGCAATGTAACCGAACGATTCATCCATGTTGTATTGTTCATTCAATTACATGGCAAAGAGAAAGTATGCATGCGCAGTAGCGGCGGAGCAAATATGAATAATCATATTATAGAGCGCCGTTCACTCGAAATTGCTGAATATGCAAGAGGTTGAGAAGAGCTTTGTCTCTTCGATTCATGCATATTCAGCAATTTCGAGTGAACGGTGATACAACATGGATGAATCGTTGCCTTGTCGGGTTCGGACGAAAAATCACCTTTTTTTCCTATCGAAGACTTCTTCAAAGTATAATTTTAAGTAGTTGGAAAGATGCCCAGAGGAGTCCAAAGACATTGTAAGTCAAACTGTAATTACTACCTCTTTACATTGCGAAAAAATGTGACCCAACCCGCTGTGTGAATCGTTTTCAAAAAAAGGGCTCTCGAGCTCCGACGCCTTTGGCATCGGTGTCGGAGCTCCCAGGAGTTAATGCAAATGATGATGGAGGAGAAAGTCGACTGACCATCTGGCCACACATAGCAGCATTAGTATGCTTTTTGGGCACTAGTGTACTTTCATATCCATTTTTGTCCCGTAAGGGAGGGAGGGTTGGATGGTCAATGAAACCCTTATCAATGATAGTTTTTCCTATTCTGATGAGTTTTGATTTAGCATTAAACCATTACTTTTTACTGAAGAAAAAATATAGGTTAAAATAACTAGGCAAAACATAAATAATGTCTACACTTCACCCTTCATTGAAAATCAATATAGAAACTAGAGCTGTGTAGAATGAAAATTGTATTGGAATATTTCTATGCAATTCCATAGAATTTTATTCAAATTTTCATGTTGAAATACTAGTAGACTCTTCTCGCATGTTGTTTGTCTGGACATGATAATTTCAAATTTGAATATGGTAAATTTGAAAGAGTTTACTTTCATGAATGTTGTCAATCCTGTTAAGGCTGCATGTGTTTGACAATAAGTCTTAAATATTCATGGTAGTGGCAGTGTGGCTAGTTGATGTAGATTTTTGTGAAATCTACATGTAAGGGCACATGGGATATTTTTGTCTGCATTTATTACATGTTGAGAGTTGAGACCCCCCCCCCCCCCATCCTACAAATAGAAAATAAATAGAAAATAAATAATAATGCATATCCTAACTTGGAACTAGATTTCATAATTTTGCTATACCCCATTGTTTTCTTTAAATTTTTTTATAGTGATTATATTTTCTTATTCAACAAATTATTTTACAGCGAAGCACTTTTCACCTTTAAAACCAGAAGACAAATGTGAAATGATATCTGCAGGGGTTAATGTATAGAATTTGGTTCCAATTGAAAATTGTGTATGGCAATACCTTTACCTGTAACAAAAAACAATGATAAATACAAAATGATGTAAGGTGTTATACTATAAATGTAATTTCTTTTATCACACATTACACAGACAGAGGACATAACTGACTCGCCACGATGAATCCTCAACATCAGAGGTCCCTGTCAAGTGCCAGCATTGACAACAAAGCTTTCAGAGAGGCCATCTCTAAGATGCGGAATGACGTCTTCGAGAGTAAGGCCGAGACGCAGAGAGTACGAGATCAGCTCAACTGTCTTGTTATGCTTGTGAAGAGGTACCATTTGAAGTCCTATTTACCAACTTTATTTATAGATCAGCGATATGAAATTGGCCCCCAGCAACATTTGCTCTGGGCTTCTTTTTGTGAGCATGTAGGGCTTTGGTTAGAATGGCTTTTATTCAGGTTTAAAATGAGTGATTTAGTCAGCAATAGAAAGTGACCATGGAGTTTTTGTCACTTGAGCATGCACTACATTTTAATGCAAATATGTCTTTGATAATCGGCATGTCCCAATAACAACATATTGGTAATATTAAAGAGTAACAATCAGTACTTCCTTTGGATTTAGAGTTTAGATGAATTAACTCACAAAAATCATCATGAAAGGACTGTCTTTCACAAGAACACTGCAAGATTAAATGCAAAACTTGTTGATTTATAATGGGAGGGAACTGTTCCACAGAGCAATTTGCATTTGATCATTGCGTAGGAAATGCATTTATGATTTACATGACAAAACACAAATGTTTGTCATGAACAAGATACACAGACATGGTATCTTCATATTATCCTCCCAACTTCAACTGAATTGGTTCCTCATGTGAGTAGGAGATGTAGAATTCATGAACATCTTACCTCAAGTAATGGGAAAACAAACCGTTAACCATGTCAATGCCAAATGGAGGTATACAACATATAATAATAATTATAGTGCTTATATAGCGCCGAACACGTACCTTTATCAGAAGTCTCTAAGCACTCTACAAATAATGCAGAATAATTACCCTGGCTTATACAGTCTACATTCAATTCATTAATGGTAAGTAGCTTTAAATTGTTTGATCAACCATGCTATTGAGTCTAAGGTATGAATGATGCTCTAATTAAATTGAATAATAGAGAAGTTCTAATTTCTCCTATTTTTTTCTTCTACAGGGCTTGGACTGGGGATCAAGCAGCAGTTGTTCATGTTTCTAATATTGTTGGTAAGTTAAAAAAAATGAACTGCAGTATGGAATAGGAGTTTTGATTGCTTTTTTTTTTAATACCTTTTTTGTCTACTGAAACCTCACCTGGCTGATATTAATTTTCCATCTTAATCTCTCAATCTTAATCCCAATCCATTTGAATTTACATCGTGTTTTTTCCAATATGAATTCCACAATTAATTGGCTTGTAAACTATTTATATTTTATTCTTGATGAACAATGTTTACCCCCTAAGTTGTAGTTGGACGAGCAAGTGTGCGCTTGTAAAATGGCGACTGGCTGGAATGCTCCCCAGGGAGTGGAAAATGTGCATACATTGTTTGCGGGTAAGCCTGAATCTGATGACCGGGGTAATAATATATCTGTAAAGCGCTCAGGCACATCGTTGGATCGATGTATTGAGCACTATATAAACACAGAATATTATTATTATTACTAAAGAAACAACGGATAGTTCTAGAATGTACTGACTAAAATGCAGTTTTCTGGGGCTTTTTTGTGTGTCTGTTTTAGTAGGATACTAAGATAATATATTTATCCTTTTGTTTGATGATTATAGGTGCCCCTATTCCATCATTCCTGAGGAGAATGGAAGACGGTGAACTACATGGGGAGTTTAAGGTAAGGCATATGATTGACTGATTTAACTACCGATCTATTCTGGTAATGAAGGGATCAGTCTTCCCGTAATTCTTCGAAAACTTTCGAATGATTATAATATTCTTTGTTTTGAAGTCAAATAGGATTCAAAATTGGTAGAAAACTAGATGATAACACGAATATCAAGAGGGAAAATGTTTTGTAATTTACCGTACCCATTATCAATTTTACTGCTGCACAGTTTTAGGCAACTCAACAAATAAAAAACGTTCAATTTCTTGAATTTAGTTAGTCCATGACAAGGTACTCACTTTTTAAATTTTTTTGATACAAGTTTGTGAATTGTAAAATACAGTTTAGTTCCACAGGTGGAACATAAATCTTCTTTTGTGACTTTTCTAGGTCCAAATTATTGTAACTCTAACCATTACTATGCATGGTCTTTATTGATATTGTTTAAATCCATGGACCTAACTTATTGTTTGTTTATTTTTATGCCTCCGTTACGAAGTAGCTGGAGGCATTATGTTTTCGGGTTGTCCGTCCGTCCGTCCGTACGTCCCGTTCTCGTGATCGCGTTATCTGAAGAACCGATTGATGGATTCCTGCCAAACTTTGGTCATGTATGTATCTTGCAGAGCCGATGAACTGATTAGATTTTGGGGTCACGAGGTCAAAGGTCAAAGGTCACAGGGCTCATTATGTATGCAAAAACAGCTCGTGATCGCGTTATCTGAAGAACCGATTGATGGATTCCTGCCAAACTTAGGTCATGTATGTATCTTGCAGAGACGATGAACTGATTAGATTTTGGGGTCACAAGGTCAAAGGTCATAGGGCTCATTATGTATGCTGAAACAGCTCGTGATCGCGTTATCTCAAGAACCGATTGATGGATTCCTGCCAAACTTAGGTCATGTATGTTACTTGCAGAGCCGATGAACTGATTAAATTTTGGGGTCATGAGGTCAAGGTCAAAGGTCATGCGGCTCATTATGCATGCAAAAATAGCTTGTGATCGCATTATCATTAGAACAGATTGATGGATTCCTCCCAAACTTAGATCATGTATGTTACTTGCAGAGCCGATGAACTGATTAAATTTTGGGGTCATGAGGTCAAGGTCAAAGGTCATGCGGCTCATTATGCATGCAAAAATAGCTTGTGATCGCATTATCATTAGAACAGATTGATGGATTCCTCACAAACTTAGATCATGTATGTATCTTGCAGAGCCAATGAAGTGAGTAGATTCTTGGGTCATGAGGTCAAAGGTCAAAGGTCATGGGCTCATTATGTATGCAAAAATAGCTTGTGAACGCATTCTCATTAGAACTGACAGATGGATTACTATTTAACTCGGGACATCTTGCAGAGCCAATGAACTGAGTAGATGTTAGGGTCATGTGGTCAAAGATCAAAGGGTCATATATGTATATGAGAAATTGCTTGTAATCACGATATTCTGAGAACCTGTTAATGGATTACAATTGAACTTGAATTTGAACAATTTCTTCTGTTTTGGTTTGTAAAATTGCTCTATGACGGAGGCATCATTTCGACTGTGCGCAGTCAAAGTTCCATCTAGTTGTTTTTTTGTTTTTTTTTGTTTGATCCCTATAATAATGTACCTTTTAGGATAACTATATATCCAACTTCTTCCTGATCATTGCAAATCTTGTCATTTCTGTACATGTATGCCATTACATTCCTCTTGAACTGCTTGATTGTTGTTCACCTGTAATGTGATTCTCCTCTGTCGCACCAAACCAAACCTAGAATGCTGCCGTCCACCACTGGGCCGTGCTGAGCATCGGTCTTCTCAACAGACACTACCAGCAGCTGGAAGCAGAGGGCCTGGCCTACGCTAAGGCCAGACTACAGCACAGACAGGAGTACCTGGACCAGCAGCTTCAGGCCCATAGAGAGACCTTGATGAAGGAGAAGAGACTGCTCAAGAAAAGGATTCTGTCTGCAAATGCCCAGCCAAGGCTGCCTGAACAGGTGAGATGCAGGGTGTACATTGCAGGCAGGAAATACACATTTTGACCAAATTTTATAAATAATTCAAGC